CGAATGTTGCTTAGGGCCGTCTTTTTGCTCCCAGAACTAGACTTTGCTTTGCTATTGTTTTTAGATTTGTTTTTTTTTTCTTTCCATTCCGTGTCCTGCTTTAGCTCCCCCAGGCTCCACCTGCTACTTCTTCGCACACATCTTGTTCCATAATGTCACATCCTGTCAGCAGCCCATGTCCCAGCAGATACTTCCTACTTCCTGCAATGTCCTGTCTGAGGAACAAAGGAATCATCAGATAAAAAACAATGGCATGGATGGGATGTGTTGGTTTCAGGAGGTTTGCATCTGTGTCTTGTGTAATATTCAGGAACAGACTCCCTTCTCTGAGGGCCCTAGGCTGACATGAGTAGGGGACCCCCTAAGAGGGCCATTTGAGCTGTTTTTGGAGCTGAAAGAGAAACGAGAGGAAATTTACAAGGAGGAGCATCACTAATATGCTAATCAAAGCCTGGGGTGCCAATGGTAAAGCTTATCGATCAGGGTGTGGGTGGGAGTGCTGTCGGTACAATTTGCCAGTTGAGAGGAGAGGAGTATTGCGCAAGTGGATTGATCTGCCAAATTTAGGAAGTTTAACTGTTCCCTGTTTGGCTGTGACCTTAGGCTGTAGCCTAGGAAAGCCTATGCTTTACTCCACCCTTAAGGCTAATGTTCAAATTACTGTCAAAAATGTATAAGTTATTGTCAAAAATGGATGACTCAATTTCCCTTCCAATCTCAAAATGGGAGAAAGATCTATCCATCGATTCAGATCAAAACTTTTGGAAAAAATTATGTTTAAACACCTTCAAAATGACTAAAAACCCAAACTTACAGCTTATACAATACAAAACTCTGCATAGAACTCATTATACAGGACAAAGGATGTTCCAAATGGGCCTTATCCACTCAAACCTATGCACCCACTGCTCAGGTGACTTTGTAGAGAACTACATGCACGCCATATGGTACTGCACCCCAGTTCAGAAGTTCTGGCAAAGGATATGTGAGGATCTATCAATTTGGTTTAATTGCTATATCCCAACCTCACCTACATTGTGCATTTTAGGTGATGCAAGTATATTAGATATGGAAGAAAATAAAGCACACATGATCCTTACTGCCTTAGGCATTGCAAAGAAAACTATCTTCATGAACTGAAAATCAAAAAAAAATTTATGTATTACTCAGTATAGAAATTTAATTCTAGACCACATAAGTCTGGAGAGAATGTCTAATTCCCACCAAAAAAATCAATTGGGCAGATTGGATCCTCTCTGGTCCATTCTGGCCAATTCCATTACGTAGGGGGGGTGGTCGGCTGTGGTCTCGTCCCCTCGGGGTTCTGGCGGGTGGCGGGGTTGGGCCCCCGGGCTATGGGCGACTGGTGGCCTCTTGGAGCTGGCGGGGCTGTGGCTGCCGTCCTGTGATGTCTGGGTGTCTGCCCTGGCTGGTGGTGGTGGGGTGGGCCTTGGGCGGGTGCTGCCGGGCGGTCAGGGGGCGTGGGGTCTGGGGTGCCGGTGGTGGCGGGGGCTGGCCCTGGGATGGGTGGTTGGCCTCTTCGGTGCGGGCCTGGGTGGGGGTCTGGGGCTCTGGTGCCCGGGGCCTGGCCGTTTCCTCGGTGGGTGCCTTCCTGCGCGGGGGTGGCCTGTGCTCCCTCTGGGGCGCCGCCGGGGGGGGTGGGATGGTCCATGTCTGGGGG